ATTTTTTATTTTTTCATGCTGATTTGGAGGCTATTAAAGCATTTGACCCAGCCAAAAAAGTTTCAGTTGTATATCTTTGACGGTTTTTGCAGAAATTCGCGTTAAAGTTGATGCCGTGGTGTCAGTAAAATGGCAACGATAAATATATATATATATATATCGTCTCGCTTTATATATAGTAAGATTGAGCGGGAAGGTGAATTATCCGCATATGTCAGAAAAGTCTCCAAGATGTTCCGCAGTGTACAGCTATTGCATACAGTACACGCCCTTCCACAGTTCAGACTTAATCCATATTTTACTTGAAACCTTAATAAACTAAACTCTGCTATAAAAGTATGAAGAAGACTTAATAAAAGGCCGCAACTTTTAGATCGTGGATTTTGAATTCATCCGCCTATTTCGTCCCTAATGTGAACATGTTGGTCTGTCAGTTCATTTGTTTTTAGGATTATGGAAATCTGATCACCTTTTGCAAAGCACACATGACCATTTTTTCGCGGTGAGATTTTCCAGCGCTATTATGTTGCCATGGCAACCCTGAATTGAATTTATGTGGTTAATGAATCCCGCTCGTGACTCTTATTTGTACCCTAAACATTGACAGTACAATGTCGTCCCAGTTCCTCTTTGTTAAACTCATTAGAACCTAATATTTGATAATTGTTTAATCAGCACAGTACCTGTTAGCAGTTGTCATTACCCAGCATTACGTAGTGACATTACGTAGTGATACACCCGGTATAGTAGCTAATAGTAACCACTAGTGATACACCCGGTATAGTAGCTAATAGTAACCACTAGTAACCAATAGTAACCACTAGTTATCTCATATATAACCGTATGTGGTGAGATTGCATAATGATACGGTTTGTTATCTGGTATTATATATAACGTGTTAAATACGTCATCTTGGCGCTGTTACACCGATCAACTCGCGATTTGAAGTATTTGGTATTTTGATTGGTACCTGATATTTGATCCTCTACCCCCATACCTAAACTTCTCATACCTTGTCGCCCTTTTTACGGCATCTGAGGAGTATTTAAGTTTTAAATTCCTCGTGATGCTACCCTAGTAGGCTACTGAAGCTTTAGAAATAGGGTATTTGACCCATGCGTAAGGGCTTGCCCGTCTTATTTTATGCTACTTCAGCATATTTCTTCATTTTCATGACGTATAACTTCCATTCGCTTGATTTATTATTTCTAAGTATTGTCATGTTGATAAATTGAGTGCTGTTTTTAGCAGATAAAATCTTGGTAGTGGTTCTTAATACCGTCAACAGCTATGAGTATCATTCTAGACAGACTGTTCAGTCTGCATTTCTTCTACGGACCTCTCGTGAGTAAACTGCGCAGTGATTACATCACGTGATCTAATGAAATGTGATCACGTGATCAGTTGAAATGTGATTCCTCTTTCTGAAGCATGTGTTCTGGGTTACCTAGAATTCTTATTTTCCTCTGCAGAATGTAAAACTCAAAAATTTTGCATTTGGGATATTTCTGGTAAGATTTTATTTCTGAAAGAGTAATTTTATTGTTCGACAGTAGACTGTGGTGCAACTTTCACTAAACTAGGCCCCATAACCTCAGAACAAATTAAATCAAGCTTAGTGTCGACTGCTTTAAACTGTTTAAACGCGATTCTATTATTTTCAGTTATTTAAAGCCGTTTGATTAGCCTAGTTCTCTAATAATAAACTAATTCTCTGTGCAGATATAAATTATGTGCGATAAAACAAGACCGCATTGAATTAGCCACCTGCTAATTTTACCACTGCTAGATGAGGGCAGCAGCACTGAATCGGGGCACCATGACACCACGTGGCGTTATAACCGCCACACTTACAACCAGTAACCAACCCCAGCGCCCCATTCTCCTTCACACAAACTTCTTGGCACACTTTACAGCTCCTGCCCCCACAGACTATATTAACGTGCAATTTGCCGGCCATCTCGCTAAGAGGGAGTTCTGAAGCACTTGATAATTATTTCCTGATTGTTTAATATATTTTAGGCGGGCTCTCCTCCTTGCTCCAGGATGCGGTTTTGCCGTTTCCTCCCAGTACTAGCTCAGTAATTGAATTTAGTGAACTGAGCAGCTGTCGCTCCGCTGTTTCTATTTTACTGGCTGCAACTCCAGTTTGTTTTTGTAGAGCTTTGTTTGGTTTTGTGTTATTTGGTGTAGACAGGTGTGGTGTGCGTGGACGAGTCTTTGTTCGAGTGAGTGTGAGAGTGCGAAACGAGTGCAAGAGTGGGAGTGCTGTGGGAGTGTGGTGGCTGAGAGAGAATGAAGTGGAAACAAGTGAGTACTTCGTAAACTTACCCCCGCGTGTTACAGCAATGAACGAGTTACTGCTCGCTCTGAAGAGCTCCTACAGCTCCATCAACACCTCCAGAACCACCAACACCTCCAGAACCAGCAGCAGCAGAACCAGCACCGAGAGTTCCCATTTCTATGATGCTGACCAGGACATGTCCTCCTTTGTCAACATTACCCCTCCTCGAATTAAGAAGCCATCTGATTTGTTAGACAGTCCCTTCCGGGATCCTATCACACCACTAAAACCTAATTTTGTGGAGTGTGATGGACCTACCACCCCTTTTCTTGACATTGAGTCACCGCTCTCATCCCCAGATAAATCCCCGCACCATCGTCTTCGTAACCCGAGTCCTCCAGACTCCGACCAACTCTTCACACCTAGGACTCGTAAGAAGTGGAGTCAGTGTGCTAACAATATGTTTATCAGCTATCACGATGAATCCTCCGACAGTGAGACTGAGGATAATGTTAAGGAGACCAGTATTGATGGGATATTTATTGAGTTTGATAACAACATTCCTAAAGTGGTTGATAAGAAGAGGTGTTCTCATATCAGCGCGCTTGCACGTGTTACATGTGTTCACCATCGGGGCCCCAAATTTGTTAAACGGCGCGCAACCTCCAGTTCTACCGGTCTTAAGTCTAAATCTTGTGAGAAAATGCAAGATGATAAAAACAGTTTGAAGACAAATAAACGTCCCATGTCAGCTGACACTCCCCTTAAGAAAACTAAACCAACCGAACCTGAAAAAGTCCAAGAAGCTGTACAAACTGCGGACCCGCTTAGTTATCTGCTGAACACCCGGGCCTACAAACTATCACGAGAGTCTCTGTCCGACTCCACAGAGTCCTTCGACCGCTCGATCAGTGACAATGGTAGTGACGCTGATATGAGTGGAGAGAAGAGTGAGGCTGAAAGTAATAAGGAGAACGAGCCGGAGATAAGGAACAGGAAGTTCTCTGTAGACGAGCACTTTTTGGAGGAGGGCAGGTATTATCAAGTCAAGGAGCTGGAGCTTGATACCTGCTCTCTCCGTACTCCTTCTGTTGTAAGTTAGAGTTGATAGGTCAGCTGTTCGTTCATGAGATGGTCCAGTGTAGGTCATTGGGCAGGAATATAATGGAAATCATCTTATTTACAATCTCAAAATCATCTACAAAATCACTCCATTACTCATACTCATATATCCTTTGATTTTTATTCATCGGCAAAATCTCTTTTAAATTTGATTGAATGATTAAGACTCATTGATTTTAAACTTAGGGCGTTTCGGCGTTACAAAACTTGTTTGACAGACAGAAAAACAGACCAGCAGATTCTCCCAAGCCAAAAAGGCGGCCTCAGAGTCTAGAACGTTCTCCAGAGAGTTCAGATTACTCCTGGCTTACAACTCCCTCCCCCGTATACCACGATACTCACAAACGGAGAAATATTGTTCCTAACTCCCTGTTTTACGGGCAGAACAGTGACGATTCCTCCTCAAATACCAGTAGAAGTTATTCTATCAAGAGTCAGGGAAATGACCCTGAACGCCGTTCAGTCGAGAACTATGAAAGAGAAAATAAAAACAAAAAGGTCGCTTACAACCAGGACTTCTCCAGATCGGATGGTTTTCTACCCAATGAGAATGATGAACCCAAGAAAAACAGTCCTCAGAGCGTTTCTGCTAGTAGGAAAAGTCCTCAGAAAATTAATCAAAGAAAGAAAATCTCACCTGTTTCTGTTCATAAAAAACCAGCCCTAATAAGAACCATATCAGTCAGTGATATTGGTAGTATTAGAGTTAAACGGAAAAGTGGTAACCCTACAAACGGTCATGAGGCAGCTGAAGACTCCCTGAGTAGGAAACAGGGAGACGCTCCACGGAGAAAGAGTTTGTTCGGGAGAGGTGGCTCGTTGTTTGATCTGTTCGGTTTAAACCAAAACAATCAAGAATACAGTTCCTCCAGCTCAAGCAGCGCTGATACTGTCATAGAGTCACCAAGTCCAGAAGTCCAGAATAAACCCCTGTACAAGTCCAAGTCCTCAGCTCAGTTAGATTCTGGGAGGATCTCACCATTAACTGTTGCTCCTGGCAGAACGCTTGCAGAACAGATCCGCATAGATAAAGAGCGAGAGAGGGAGGAGGCAAGGATGAGGGATTTGAAGGAGCAGAGGAAAGCAGAGCTAGAGAAGTGGAAGAGAGATGAGGCGGAGAAGAGAAAGAGAGATGAGGAACTGTTAGCTCGTCAGAAGTACGAACAGGAAGTATTAGTAGCGAGGTCCAAAGCACGAGAGAGACTGGGACGAGAGGAGAGGGCCAGATTACTGAACCATGCTCCCGTGGTGAGCCAGAGGAGTTTGTTGTTAGCTTCAAAACATTTGGAGGACGAGAAGAGGAAGAGTAAGAGGTTCAGCAAGGCGGAGATGGCCACTGCTAGGTCAATGCTTGACAGACTTAATATTACTAAGAAGACTGACATGACTGAGACTGATACTGTTAAACTCAAAAAACAGAAAAGTAGGGGGAAGGTAAATCAAACAAATCTATTGTTAATCCGAGCCCTTAAAGAAATATTTCACCGCTGTTTGAATTTAATATTTGCAAATCAGTCATTTAAAAGTCATAGTAGAGCAATGAACCCTCAGAGCTGCAATCTGCATTCTATTTTTAACTCAACAATTCTTACAGGTGCCGGAGGATTTATACAAGGCTGTTCAACAAAGGACTCCGAATGGTAAGTTCACATATTCTCGAGTACTCTTCATTTTACAAATATTGCCAAATTACTCGCCATTAAGAACTCCGCGTTCCTTCATCTTTACAGAGACAGCATAAAACATATTCTGACGAAATATGTACACATTGAATGTGATATGATGCAGTGATCTGTACTCACTTACTCACTCCAGTGTGAAGCAGACTAAAAAGAACTTAATATCGGTCTCCGTTACAAACGTCACTGGTGCTCTGTTAAAATGTAGAAAGGACTGCATCTAACACGCGCACTAATACCTTTCCAGAGAGCACAATGTAGTTTGTAGTGGTCCTCATGGTATACAGGACAAGTCCCAGCTTGTAATATTATGATTGCTCACGGTGGCCAGCCAGATATTGCTTGCGTGCAGCCCATCAACGTTTATTATTATGCTCGATCTTGTGCTGCTTACTGCTACCGTGTTGTTTTGACTAAACGGAGGAAATTTTGCGTTTTGCGTTTTACTGAGTCGTTTTTTTAATCTACTACTACCACTCCGTTATTTGTGTTCCTCGTTAAGTAAGGTCTATTATTATCGGTTACACCTCGATATAACCGTTATTATTGCTCTACAAGTAACAAGTTTCCCTCCCCCTCAACCACAATACCAACCACAATAACTCTACCTGGCAAGCTACCCTGATATCCCTTCCCCTCCACTTCACATCTAGAGATATTATCCAGACTATCTTACCCGCTCTGTGCTTGCTAGCTCCGTAATTAAAACCACCATTGTCAGCCATCTTCACACAATTAGTTCAATGTCAGCTCATCATGCTTGAGTTCTTGTAACTTAGTGGACAAGCTGCTGCTATTGTCATTACTGTTGTTATTGTCTTTACAGGTCACGTGGTTTAGATTTTCGCGTTTTGATTGGCCACGTGACGGAATGTTTGGTTTTGGTTGGTCGTTTGTTTTTCATAAACGCCACATAGGTGGGTCATGTTTATGGTGAAACTGCCAGGAATATATGCACTGTGTACGTCATGCTTCTGTGTAATTCACTGCTCCGTTTTACCGAGACAAGCTTTATACTTGACGAAAATTTTGCGAAGAAGTTCCATGCAACGTTTTCTAACTATAGACTCTGACTTTAATTATCGCACTATGCACGAATTTGCCGGCTTTGTTGACTCACTGTTGAATTTGAATGGAAGCCGAGAATTGCTAATTTTAAGTATGACCCACACAAATCTTAATTCAATGCTGATATTAGTTATTACAGTTGCCGTTACTTCGTACGTTTGGCCGTCAGTTAGTCTCACTGTTCCAGCCTTTTTGACACGTATTTTTGTTAATTTGTTGTTGACATTTTCTGAAAAGTCAGTAGAATTTGTTCTCGTTACTTACAATAATTTGATCTCAGCAGTCAGCATAGTTTTGAGCTTGAGTTTTTATCAGTAACTCTAATGAGTTTTTATAGTATTAGTAGTTAAAATAATTCAGAAAATATGTATACCCTTCCTGATCAAATGCTCTGTAGCTTGACTATCGTCAGTTTGTTCAGAACAGTAGTAGCTGAAACGGTCCCACGAAAACTTTACGCTATCCGAATGTATTCTTAATCGTATTTTAATTGCCAGTTGTCCTCCCAAGACGGCGGAGCGTTTCCAATATCACAGGTTTAATTGCTTTACCTGTGCAGCTGTGCATGTACTGGTCGCAATACTACAGTAGTAGTAATTTCAGTGTATTAGGAGATTGCTTCTGACTGGTTTCTATGGCACAAACAACCGAATTGCGACACATTAAGTAAATGCTCTTTGAATTTTAAATTCGAAGACGTATCCTCCCTAACTTTCCAAGATTAGAGCATTCATACCTTTTCCCATATTTCAACTCTACTCCCTGGTATTCATTTTTCCCTCCTTTTGCCTGTTATTGGTAGTCGCCCACAGATTTCATTTCAGATCTTATCTCTAGATAATTAAATACTATAATAGGTACAGTTGACTGGCGCTTTTCGTCTGTTTTCCCATTTCCTTGTTCTAGAGTGTCGTCATTATAAGTTTTACATTCCCTGTAAATTATGTAAGTATTATAACTATCTATCATCTCCGTCGCGGATTATTGATGATATCAGATGTTTGACTGACATGTCACATTTCAGCAGTTATCTTACATTTATCAAGTTCTTTGTTCAACAAATAGTTCGTTTCTTATCTACACTCGCAAACAGCTGATAAGCTTATTTTACGCTACACTTTTCGAAGCCTGTTTTAGTGTTGTCCTTTTGCCGCCAGGGCTAAACTTTTATTTAATATTTAGTGTTTGTTTTCCTCGAATTTGGTTTAGGGCCGCATACTTTTGCGCTATAATATTCGTAATTTCCATATTCCAGCTAAATGTTTATTGCCACAGGACAATCCTAGAATAGTGTCATGTCACTCTACGTTAGTTAACACGTCTGGGTCCCATTTTAATTTTAAAAAGGGGCAAATCATTCCACTCACTAATGGTGACCAGGTTGTTTGTGAATGCTCATCGTAGCTATGCCGTTGAAAACCACTAGACCAATCTTTAAATAGTGTCGTTGTCGGAATTTTTCTACTTCCAAATTCCAAACATAGTTGGTATGGAATCTTGTAAGCCTGTAATTGGACAGTTCGCGACGCTCACGTCTCTTCACGCCTACTGACTTGAAAATGGTTTGGTTTTCCATTCACACTTTAGTTGGTGTAAAGTTTACTCTAGCTGCCACCTATCCAGCCAATTAACTTGCTTTTCATGGCTTCACCTTTTCCACATTATCCGTTTAGTTTGGCTGAGCGTACTCTTTTCAAGACTATGTTCGTGTGATGGTGTTGCGCAATATTTCATCAGCTCTAAGCAGGTCAAGTACTTGGTATCTCTATACTACTCTGTGCCTGTATCTCTTACTCTGATCAGAGCTGCCAGGCTATTTTAGTTTATTTTAGCTTTTGATTATTACCGTCAAAAATAGAGACTTATCTTGTTGCAGTGCTTCTCAAATTTTTCTCGTTTCGTTAGTTAGCCAGAACATACATTGCTAGTTGAACTCTGAATTTGCATATCTCTAATTTGCATATCTCTAATACTTTAGGAAACTGTCCAGTGTTGAAGTATCTTACAATCCACCCTTCCAGTAATGGACCATAATATGTACAAAACAGGCAATATACACTGTACCACAGTTCACAGCTGTACTTTATACTGCTGTCCCGAGACCTGCAGCCCACGTGCACAACCGCATTTCGCGCGGTTTAACAACCGCCGGCGGTCCTTGCGGTCATATTTATGTTTTAGTACCGCTGCCACACCCCCAGCTATCCGGAAGCGGCTGAACAGCGTGACAGTGCCGGAGAAGAGCGCGATGCCGCGAGGTGAGATCCGTGTGAGAGAACCAGATCCGGTACCGGATATCAAGAAAGTGGTGCCGGATAAAGTGGTGCCGTGTCTGCAGCCCTGTGTGACATCAGTACCCCAGCAAGTGTCAGTAATCCAACCTGTGCCGGCTGTGGTATCTGAGCTAACGTCCGTATCTTCCCTAGTTTCGGAACCTGAAGTAGTGTCGGTACCTCAACCGGTTTCAGTACCTCAGCTAGTGACGGTACCTTCACCAGTTTCGGTACCTCAGCTAGCGTCGGTACCACAACCGGTTTCGGTACCACAATCGGTTTCATTACCACAACTGAGATCGGTACCTCAGCCTATTTCGGTACCCAAGCTTGTTTTGGTGCCTCCGCCGGTTTCGGTACCCCAGCCAGCGACGGTACCTCAGCCTGTTTCGGTACCACAGCCTGTTTCGGTACCACAGCCAGTTTCGGTACCACAGCCGGTTTCGGTACCACAGCCGGTTTCGGTACCACAGCCAGTTTCGGTACCAGAGCCAGTTTCGGTACCACAGCCAGTTTCGGTACCACAGCCAGTGCCAGTGATAAATGTGATTGCACCAGTGCCTACTCGACCGGTGCGAGGTGAGGGATCATGTGTGATGAGAAGTGTGATGATGCACGCTCCACAACACTATATTATATGTGTGATCCAGTGTGATTGTGTGAAGATTAGAGCAGTGGGCTATTAAATTTACAAGTTCATTCTTATATATATTCAGTGTGGTACAGCACTACGTTTTACCTCAAAAATACGATGTCTTTTTTTCAGCATCAGTTCAACTACTTTTTACATTCTCCTTTAGAAAACCTAAGAATCAAGAAGTAAACATGATAATTCTTCACATTCTTTGTGTTGGGAAATACATTCAAGTTCTAGCATGCTAGACGTTGCATACCTTCGCACGTTCACTTTTCAAGATTAACCCATTTACATTCCTTACAGACCATTTCACACTCCCTACTCACCAAACAAACAGCATCAACTTCATTTACACACTTACTAACTTCGTCTAACCTCACTCTATCCTCCAGAACACATATTTGTGGAATACGGAAAAGAAGTAAAGCGAGTTGTGACTCCACCCCTACCCATACCATTGGATCAGCTGAGACAGAAGATAATAGCGACCTTTGGAGACGCCCTAACAGCTGATATGGTCCCACTTAAAGCACTGTATATACAGGATTCTCAGACCAAGATATTTTATCAGCTCGATGATCACAACGATGTTATTAAAGGTACTGATACAACAGTAGTTGTCCCTCTTTCTTTTATTACGATAATTTGTTAATATCTTGACTTCCAAACAATGTAAAGAATGACCCCTCCTATTTCATCTATAAGAATATCTCACCCCTTGTTCCCCCCCCCCCCCCCCGCTTATGTCTAATCCTACCTACCCTCAGGATCCCACCTGAAGCTGCACGAGGAACTAGTGATAAAGAACATTGACCGTGGCAGCTCCCAATCTCTTGAGGATCTCAACAACTCCTCCAACTCGTCCCTATCCTCTGGAGGAGGGTTCGTTATCCCTGCTACTCCTGTCTCCCTTCCCACCAAACCCACTAAACGTCCCGGAAAGTACGTGATTATACCGCACAATAGGTAGCTAATTAGTTCTGCTGCATAGTTGGAATTGTTTTTGTTGAGTTTAGTTCTAGTTTTCAAGCTGTTAATCTTATTATCCGTTTTCATTGTCTCGTACGCATAAGCTATTACAACTTTAACAAGATGTTCCTCACAAATCATGTCCTTGTTAAGTATACTCATACATTTCTGTGCGAATGAACGAAAACAAGAGTAGTACGAGAGAAGTTTTAAAAAATCAATAATGACTCGTTTCTAGGCGACGTAATGATTGTGCCAGAAGAAAGTAAGCGTCTAACATTGTGATGTGCGATGTCTTAATTATAATAGTCTTTTCTATCTTTAGGGGTTGGAAAAATTCCAGCAACCCGCCCAACACTAGAGGTTGCTACAGGTAGGAGTAGCGACGAATGTGAATCGCCCTTCTGCTCGTAGCAACTTCCGCTGTCTTATTAAATTCTGTGTAGTCCTTAAAGCATTTGTTACAGACAAAAACGGATCGAAAAGTCCATAACTAACGGTGTGAAAAGCAGACAAACTGACAGACAATCTGATAGACAAACTGACAGACAAACTGACAGACAGACAAAACCAATGCCTACCGAGTAAATCTTTGCTGCGTTTTTTGGGTTATTTTTATATTGTATTGTGAATCAAAGTCCCAATTCAATATTTTACTTACAAAGTAAACTAATTTTATCAAAGTAAGACATTTTTATTTAGAAAATAATCAACTTTGTTAACATACTTTCCTTTACTATCAGATCCAGACTAAGTTTGGTGGAAGAAAGATTGTCGATGATAACACACGAGATAAATACCATTCATAAAAGTGACACCTGCTCCGAGGTCTCTAGTCAAACAGGTACTGAACTTGACTCTAGTTGTTTATTTTGTTATTTATTTTGCTATCTATCTTGTTCTGTGAAAAGGGTTGCAGTTCACATTTTATCTAAGCTGCTAAAATAATTTTGTCCATATTTTCAGATTTGCCGGCGATAATTCCCGACACAAAACCAACTCTCTCCCACCTACACAGCATAATAAAAACCCTGTATCACAATCTTCAAGAAACCAAATCAGAACTCATGTTGCTCAAACGAAGAGAGCTAGAATCCAAGGCGGAAATGGATGAGATTATGAAAAGTACAGCGGAGGAGATAACGAGGCAGATCCAGGCAGCCATGCCTAAAGGGATCAGGGGGCAGAGAATGGAGGCTGACAAAGTTGAGGCAGAGTATAGACAGATCTCCGAAGAAACTTACTCGAATATAAAGTAAGTTGGAACTCTGTCATAAGATATGCTGTTACTATTTATAACCATATAATCTTAAACAATAATCTCAGAATGTGTGTGTGTCTGATCGTCTGTCTGTCTGTGCGTGTGTAATTTCCGGTCGGTTATATTAAAAAAACGGTAAGAGTTTTTCGGTAGAGTGTCGACAAAACTCTGACGAAGCCCATAAGCAAATATTTTAAAAATCGGTCGGTGGTAAGTGGTTTAATTGATGGTTTTGTACCAAAAATGTGACATAAAATGGCTTGAGCAGCTTAATCCGGGTAATCCAGAAAACGGTAAGAGTTACGGGGATCGCTCTCTCTGCATATTTAGCTGCATAAGTAATAACCATAATTGGGTTAGGGGGTAAGATTCGTTGTCATGTTATACTTTAATCTTATTAGGAGAGGGAGCACTGTTTGCAGGGTCTGTTTGGACTGCAGAGAGAGAGTTCATACTTTCATACGACAATGTTATGCGTGTTTTCAAATATAATAGGCAGGTGCGGAGTTAACAAGGGTTAATTTCTAAAACGATTTAAATAAAAATGGAAAGTGTACAGTGGTTCAAGACGGGAGTGATGAGGTGTAATAGTCGGTGTTCGGACCCTATGATCATGAAATGTGGTGCCTAATAATGACTTAATAATCCACGAGAAAGAACTGATTAGGAGATTATTGTTTAAACTAGTGTAACCCGCCCCTTCGGCCGGGATTTTCACGCCGTATAAAAAGGGTAGGAGTAATGACCACCGTTAGCAAAACCCGATTAGGACAGCAATTCCAATTCGGATTGCCCTCACGTATCCAATAGTAGCCTTAAAAGATATGTATCTAAACAAAAATCAATAGTATTAACCCTTAACACCATGCAACCACACCCGCCTATCATAGTTTTGTGAACATGCATTACATTGTCGTATGAAAGTATGAACTCTCCTCTACATCCCAAACAGACCGTTTGAGCGCTCCTCCCCCCCCCTCCATCCCCTAATACGTTTATAGTATTACATGACCCATGTAATATATATACGCCAAGTAAATACACACGCTACATATATTATGCAGAGAGAGAGAAGAGCGTAGCCCCGTAACTCTCTGCCGTTCTGCTCAAGCCATTTTTATGTAACCATTGTGGTACAAAACCATCAATTAAAACACTTACCAACCGGCCGATTTTTTTATAAAATTGCTTATTGGCTTCGTAGAGTTTTGGTCGCAACTATACCGAAAAAACCAGTCCCGTAACTTCCTTAACCGTTTTTTTTGTATAACCGTACGAAGTTTCAAACATGCACACACACACCACACACACACACGGATTTCTTGTATTATTTAAGGTGATACTATTGATACGTGAGGGTAACTCGAATAGAAATTTGCTCACCAATGCGGTTTTGAATCAGCGGTAATTCTCCTACCCTTTTTAACTGCCGGCAGTGCATCCCACCGAAGGCCGTGTTACACTAGTTACTACTATATTTCTAACGTTAAACCTAACGTCTAACCCTACTTTATAATTATTAAGCACCATGCTTGACGACAATCTTCTTGTTTTTGTCACTCTCCTGCAGAACTCTCCACTGCCAAGGAAACTCGAACTATCTGACTACATTCCCAACATATAACACTCCAAACAACTTAAAGTTATCTACCAAATTATCCGCAAGATGTATACAAGACACGCTGGATCGCCTCGACAACATGGATTAGTCCTGATTCGAACTCGGGCAGTAGCCATGACAAACGATGATGTGGAATGTGGATAGATAATAAAGGACATGAGGAAGTCCATGGGGATTGACTTTGCGGAGGGGTATTTCACGCCGTACGGAACACGTGATTATGCTGGCATGTTTGGAGCCGGTGATTGCCGTGTTTGTGATTATGTAGTTTTACCAGATAAACATATAACCATAGTAACCATAGTAACCATAGTAACCATAGTAACCATAGTAACCAATAGTAACCATGGGAGTGACATTTGCGGAGGTATCCGCTCCGGACGGCGACACGATGATTAGTGGCTGAGTGTTTGGAACTGGTGATTGCCATTTGTGTGTGATGTAGTTTTGGGATAAAAAAAAACAAGAACTATCTCGAAAACCATTAGAACCAATCACCTGGTTGTTTTTGAAGACCCCGCCTGGTAACGCCTGAAATTTGTCATAAAATGTAACAGTAGAGCTGGGGTCAAAACCTCGGATTTTTTAGTGCTCCTTTAAGCACTTATTCCAAGACGGCAGTTTAAGCCCAGTTAGTGCTATTGTTGTTTTCTCTAAAAAGCAAGAAAATATTATTTAAAGTTTAGATATTTAACAGAGCACTTTTCTCGTAATGTCAATTTGTTACAATAATGTTTCTATCGATTATGAACATTAATAATTGCATTCTACGTCATGGGTCTTCAAAACTATTTATCAAAGTAATAAAATAATAGTCCTTAGTTTACTTTCGTTATATGTCCTTAAAAATCAAATTGTTTTACTGCCTTTTTCAGTCTAAAATGAAATTTAAAAAATGATTTGCAGAATCCACTATGGCAGAACGGTTTGCGTGAATATTATGGAGGATAATTTTCAATATCAACTTAATAACACCAGAATGTGTGTTTGTGTGTGTGTGTCTGGCTGTCTGATCTCTGTGTTAATTTCCGGTCGGTTATACAAAAAAAAAAACGGTAAGAGTTACGGGACGTTTTTCGGTATAGTGCCGACAAAACTCCTGATGAAGCCCTACACTTTCTTTTTAAAAATCGGGCCGGTTAAGTGGTTTAATTGATGGTTTTTTAAACCACAAATTTATCATAAAATGGCTTGAGCAGAACGGCAAGAGTTACAAGGGCTTGACTCACTCTCTCTCTCTACTCTCTCCTCTCTCTCGCTCTCCATCTCCCTCTCTCTCTCTCTCTCTCTCTCCTCTCTCTCTCTCTCTCTCCTCCTCTCTCCTCTCTCCCTCCCTCTCGCTCTCTCTCTCCTCTCCTCTCTCTTCTCTCCTCCCTCTCTCCTTTCTCTCTCTCCTCTCTCTCTCTCTCGCCTCTCCGCTCTCTCTCTCTCTCTCGCTCTCTCTTCTCTCTCTCTCTCTCTCCTCTCCTCTCTCTCTCCTCTCTCTCCTCTCTCTCTCTCTCTCTCTCTCTCCTCCTCTCTCTCCTCTCTCTCCTCTCCTCTCTCTCTCATCTCGCCTCCTCTCTCTCTCCTCTCTCTCTCTCTCTCTCTACTCTCTCTTCTCTCTCTCTCTTCTCTCTCTCTCCTCTCGGGTCGCTCTCTCGTCTCTCCTCTCTCTCTCTCCTCTCCTCCTCTCCCTCTCTCTCTCTCTCTCTCCCCTCTCTCTTCTCCGCTCTCTCATCTCTCTCTCTCTCTCGTTCTCTCTTCTCTCTCTCTCTCTCTCTCTCTCTCTCTCTCTCTCTCTCCCTCTCTCTCCTCTCTCCCTCTTCTCTCTCTCGCTATCGATGTCTCTCTCTCTCTCTCTCTCTCTTCTCTCTCTCTCGCTCCTCACGCTCTCTCTCTCTCTCTCCTCTCCCTCCTCTCTCTCTCTCTCTTCTCCTCTCTCTCTTCTCTCTCTCTCCTCTCTCTCTCTCGTCTCTCTCCTCTCTCTCTCACATCTCCTCTCTCTCCTCTCTCTCCTCTCTCTCTCTCTCTCTCTCTCATTGCTGTATAATATGTTTCATAGCTCTGCATTTTAGTAGCGTCATAATTGGATTAGCCCGGAAGATCGCTTGGTAATGTTTATACACATAAGCTTATTAGGGGAGGGGGACTGTAATTAGTGTTTGGGGTCTGTTTGGACTGCAGAGATAGAGAGAGAGAGTTCCATACGACAATTGCGTGTTTTCAAATAAATAGGCGGGTGTGGTGCGATTATCAAAGGGTTAATTTCTATAACGATTTAAAATTTAAAAATGGAAAGCGGTTCAAGACGGAGTGATGAGGTGTAAATACGGTGTTCAGACCTATGATCATGGAATGTGGTGCCTCATGGCCTATAATGACTTAATTATCCACAAGAAATAACTGGATTATGAGATTTTTGTTTAAGACACTATTGGGTCCCACCTAATGCGGGTTTTGGACATCAGCGGGTAAATTACTCCTACCTTTTAACTGCGCGTGAAATTCCCGGCGGAGGCCGGGTTACACTAGTATATTGATACTATGTTGATTAACAATTTTTTGCGCACCCATTTAACACTTTTCTTTTGCACAGTCTGCGAATTTCTTAAACAACAAATATAATTAACCAATTTATTTGTGACGATATTTTCATACCTTCAGCAATACATAGTTTAATACTGATATTTTCCCCTCCAATTTTTGTCATTTAGTTGGTGTTGTGAAGATTATTGTGAGTGCTGTAAAGTGCGGTATTAGGTCAACAGTGCGATTTTCCGGCGCCCCCGCACTTATATACTTTTGCCTTTGCGGGCTACGATAGGAATCATCATAAATTTAAATGGTAATGGTGTGGCATGTGGCTATTAACAGTGGATTGTGTGGTAATGAGCGGTACTCTTTCATACGCAGAGAAAATGGACAAGTTGTCTTCATTTATTAATAAACTTACTCTACCTTCATGTCTTGGACCAACACTACTATAAATAACTCTCGTTTCAAACCTAAAGAACCTTTTTTTACTGTAAGTGCTAGACTTCATTGTTAACATGAACAGAAGTCTTAACGGCTCGAGAAAGCATGCATGCATTCGTTCAAAATAATCTGCATCCTTTTGTATTCATGATTCTTGAAGAAATCTTGACGGGCCCAAAACAATAGCAGACAAGGTTAATAATTAATAGGAAGCCAATCTATTGTACCACCAAAATGAGTTTTGGTCCGGTCAAACGCGACAAAGGAGGCGACTCAAGAACACAAAACTTCAATTAAATAAATCATAAACGTACACGCATCGAGATCGAAAACAATCCCCAATTGGGTCTGAAGATAAAACACATATTTTAGTGTCATTTGGAAGTCACGGTTATGTTCACAAGACCAGGTCACATGACCAGGTCACGGATAGTGAAAGGATCGAAGGAGCTCAATTGTGGAAGAATGGTCATTTGTCATTGGTGTAACTTAGCTGAAGTTGCCCCGGACTTTGCCGAGAATATTTAACAGAGTAGAACTTTTGAAGAGGTTTTTTCAGTTCTTAATTAATTTTTGCACAATTCTTCAGCCACCGATTTGTGCAGCGAGTTTATATACAACTAGCAGGAACCCGTATATATAACCCTAAACGGTGTCAAGACTCAAGAGACCTAAAATAATTATTACCTATTTAATTCGCGTTTTTGACACCACTTGGGGGTCCAAATTGTGTGGGCTCTAAAATCGACTAGTTCCTTGGGCCTATTTTTTATTCTTTCATGCTGATTGAAGAGTTGGAGGCCATTAAATCATTTGACCCAGTCAAAAAAGTTTCAGTTGTATATCTTTTACGGTTTTTGCGGAAAGTGGAACATGGAGCTTAACGAGGAAAAGTTCCAGCTTCTACAACACGGCAAACTACCGGACTTGGTAAGCAGCCCACATCTTACCATCTGGAAGAGACTCTTAAGGGCTCTGAACCACTGAAGACCTGGTTGTCCTATATCGACCCAGACCTCAACTGGCGCCATCGCACATACATGAGTCCTGCCCAAAGCCAGAAACATGGCTAGTTGGGTGCTACGCACCTCATCTCCAGGGATGTACCGACCATGATGCTCCTGGTCACAAGGTCCTACGTACGAATCTTCATCATGAATACTGCTGTCCCTCTGTGGTCTCCTCACATGCCGTGCGAAATTATTAAACTCGAAGCAGTTCAACGATCCTTCACTGCTAAAATCCAGGTCTTTGGAAATCTCAACTACTTGGGACGCTGTCTTACCGTACAGGCCCTTCAAAGGCGGCGTGAGAAGATAATCACACACTAACCCTCTGCTCCACCACACTACATACCTAAAACCTCATACGTATCCCCTTCGCTCTCTGAAGCGGAGGTGTAACAGAGACAGGCGGACCGGAGCGGCCAAGTAGTCATGAGAGGGTCCCAGACCCCTGGGATATTTAGCGCACTGGAAGGGATCGTGAGACACTGAGCTTCAGTTTAATAATGTGCGCCCAATGCAGATGAGGAGGCCACAGATGGACCACACGCCCAGTCAATGCCAAAGATGAAGCGACATATCAGCTACGCTTAGGAACGGTTATAGGATCTTCGACGATTTCGGGGAGCCCGACTTGTAGCGGGTCATACAACGTATGACAATGATCTCACGTCGCGATCCTCATTTCATGTAACTTTAAGCCGGATGATATGGCTGTTCACCTAACCATGGGCGAGGCCGTATTTATGGGTACAACTACAATTAAAATGTTTGACAGTTTCGTCTCGATAGGTCACTCCGGGTGATAATCTGAAGACAACTGTTGCTCCAACGGGGTTGTTGAGAGCGTAAATACGGGTATAATTTTAATGTATGGTGGATTCGTCTTGTATCAAGTGGTGACCCCCACTGTCGCTTCACTATAGTGTAGAGTTTCGACGATACAGGGGGAGCCGCGCACTCGTGCGCGGCGGGCCATACAACGTATGACAAAATTCGTCCAGATAGGTCACTGCGGGTGATAGTCTGAAGACAGCTGTTACCTTACCTTTCATACCTTTGATCTGCTTCGTCGAAACCCGACAGGCCATCAGAGTTGCTGACCACCCCAGAGAGCAGATGCCTCTCGATCGTTACGCAAGTCCAGTATAAAATTGGAGTTCGGTACGATCCGGCAAGGAAAGCATGAATGCCGTCATATGATGCTTGGAGACTGCACGTATGTGCCAAGGTAATGTATACAGTTCCAGAGTCTGGGACCCATTGCACTAAATGATGTTTCATATAGAGTCTGATGAGCCGCTAAGCTTTTTGTACGGACATCTGGAACCTTAGCCAGGGTACCCAATCGTGGATTTACTGTGAACTGTACTTCAAAATCAAGGTCGTTGGATGTGAAACCATGTAGGAGTTTTCACATGTGCATGACAATGTTATGTTCTCTGCGCCTCTGAAGTGACATGAGGGACAGGGTTTTCAGGCGATCCCAATAATGGAGATGCTGTAAACCATGGAAAATTCTTTGTACACTTTCAAGCTCCTGAATGTCACACACTTTCGCCGGATTCCACAGAGGAGAGCAATACTCTAAGTGGCTACGGACTAGTGACTTGTATAGTGTTAACTTGTCATACGTTGTATGACCCGCCGCGCACGAGTGCGCGGCTCCCCCTGTATCGTCGAAACTCTACTACTATAGTGAAGCGACAGCTAGTGGGGGTCACCACGTGATACAAGTGTTAACATAACACCAGTATTGCGAGAGTGAAGACACTGAATACCCATGCTGCCATCTTCCTCGCTTTATCACAACTAGATCGTATGTGTGATGTCCAGGACGAATCCCTGGATACTGTTATACCGAGATCACGGAGCTGATCCACAGGAGTGAGTATAGTACCAGTTGATGTTTTGTATTGGAACTGCTCATGGACAAAAGGAAGCTCATAGAGAGGATTAAGTTTGTTGACAAGATGACATATAGCTGCCATATAGCCTGACTAACAATTTTCTCGACTGACTGACATTGTTTGTTCCGTTATTCTTTTTCCTTCCTCTTTTCCTTGTCTTCCCCTTTAGTTTTAAGATTCTTGCTATAAATGGCTACAGTTGACACTATTAATGCTAAGTACCAAACAACAAGTGGGAGGTGGATCGTTGGTATACCTTTAAATCGATTTAACACCGCATTAATTCCAGTCGCAAGCCTGGGACCACTACTAGCATAGTCACAACATCTAAAAAGCTGCCATATAGCCTGACTGACAATTTTCTCGACTGACTGACAATGTTTCTTCTTTTTCCCCATTTAGAATACAAAGATTAGTACATTTTAGCTTATGATTAATATTATATTTTTACCTATAGTTTACCTAGACTAGATGTACTCAAACTTTGTCAAGATCAGACTGAAGCTCAGTAACATTATGTGCATCACTTGAATCCTTCGGCTTCCTGTAATTGGCTGGTTACACACTTGTGTAACAATGTGGCTGTTGGAATGTCCGAAGTAAAATAAGAGTTGAGATTACTGATGGATCTGTAAATTCTTGTGTCGTCAGCGAAACATTTTAACGTTGAATGCAACACGCAGCTAGATCAAGATATTTTTATTGTTTCTCATTCTTGCTCATTGAAGCTGGTAGAGGTATAGCGAGTATGCCTCATCAGACTTTATTTGAACTGACATTAATTGAAGTTGAACGCTGGAGGCCCTAGCGTTTATTTTAATGTCCGACAAGGTAGTTAAATCACAGTGCTCGCAAGCACGACCGTCAGCCTTTTACTCACTATACTATGTATTTGTCTTACGTTGTACTTGTAGTTGTACTTGAAGTTGTACATATTGTAGACCTGCCGCGCACGAGTGCGCGGCTGTATCGTGGCCACAAATACAATGCCAATGGGGGTCACGACGTCAGACGTGATACAAACTATGATGTATTAACCTTCAACTTCAAGCCACGTGTATGACTATTGTCATTGACTATGAGCCGTAATTACTCATTATCAATACTTATATGTATAAATAAAGCAGCGGAATTGGTCGATCGATTTCTCGGAGTTATTTAAGCATCGTGTGGAAAAAAACTTGGCTTTAATTCTTGTGCAATGTCGGACTTAAATAGAAGGAAAACAAATTATCTTATAAAGAAAATACATTGTTTTAAAAATCAAATCATCATATTCTCAACGTGATGTATAAAATTTAAAAATCATAAATACTTTAAACGGAAAAAATGTCATGGTTCAGAAGCCGGATAAATTCATGTTCAAATAAATCAACAACACGAGATGGAACTTGTGGTGGACTATTACAGATAAATGAAAGACAGTAAACTATTACCATTTACCACTAGTGGTGCATCTCGTAATGACATATGATTTATTCAATTCCAAGTTAAACAAAGGTAAAAACTAGTCAACTTAATCTTAAAGTTCTAACTAACTTTTATGATCGACTTTTTCCCTTCTTATTGCGAGACGACTTATCATCAAAATTAACAGAAAGAGTTCTGTCAGTCTTAGATCTAGATTTTGGAAGACTTTTTCTCGATCCCTCCGTGTACGATCTCGGTATTATAGCTGGACTTGGTGGACTGTTAGCAGTGTCCACAACAAAAACATCACCGTTTGACTCAACGTTATGATCTGCCGAATGATTATCCTTTTGTTTAGAGTCGTCATGCTTTGAATTGGATTTTGATTTCTTACTGAAGAATCCGAATACAGTCTTTTTCTTAGTTTTCTCGTCCTCGGACGAATGGTGCTTGTCTTTGTCCTTGGTGAAGGACTGAGAACGTTTCATGTTAACAGCACTTTGAGATGACAAATGGGTCACTTGAGGTGAACTCTCGTTATCTGAGTCAGTGTTACTATAATTGAAGTTTCTGGAATCTTCCTCGTTATTTGCGATGCTAGACATGCTCTTACACTTGCTGATGCTCATTTTGCGTTCTAAGGTCGAGCTATTGAATTGGGCCGGCTGAGAAGATTTCCTCCCAAACTTGTGGGGCGGTGGTTGGGCGCTGTACATTGCTTTCAGAGCCTCTTCTCGTTTCTTCTCCAGCTCTTCGAACGCGTTTGTCTTGCGAAGATTCTGAGATTTGAACTGGATTTCCTCTACTACGTAGTCGCTATCTGATTTCTGAAATTTCTTTTGGACGGCACGAATCTCTTCAGTAGCCTGAACAGGTTTTAGAGAGTCAATAATCCGAATAAAAAAGAAAATGTCTGATTGGGAAGATTATGGACTAGAATTAGCCAAAAGATGCAAAAAAGGAAAATGTAGAGATGCGATATTGCGATCATGCCAATCATGCTAAAGCAGAATGTTTAAAAATTAAACTGTTTAGTCCATACAACAGGGTGACCCAGAATTGGCGATCTTATGTAAAAGAAAGCCCCCCATTTGCCACACTAACAATATACTTTGTAGCGGAGGAGGAGGAAAACTTCCTCTTTACATAAAACTTAATCTCGACCACCCTGAACTGGAAAATATAAAGATATTTGTGTCTGCTCACCTGTATACTCAAGATACGTTCGTCATGGTTAGGAACCAGAGCAGCGATAGCTTGCATCACTCCGTGCCTCTCCTCCATTATGTCATACTCACTAGACGTGTAGATTGCAAGAGGGTTCGAACCCTGCTCTTGCTGCATTGCTGCAACCCTGTAATGTTAGCAGATGAAGGAAACTGTCTGGTTCACATTAAGATTTGCGCTAAACAGGGGATTCCAATGTAGTAAATACATAATAAGAATTAAAAAGCAGCCCTTTTAAGGATATAGATGTGTAAGTTTGTGGACTTACTTTTTAAGAGTTTCTACGACTCGTTCCAGCTCCTCGCACTTTACAGTGACATCCTCCAACATCGGTTCTTCGTCCTCGAGAAACTGTTCCTCGTTCACTATGATCTCCAGCTCCTCTTTCATTACCTTCTTTAGTGACTCTTTCAGCGTGTCAAATGTTGCTGAAGTTTAATCAGATTAGGTCACACGAAGAAGTACTTTGTGCTTAAATTTTGATTTCAAAATTTCTGTCAGTCAGAAATTGGTTTCCTATGCAATTTGAAAGTTTCTTAGCAATAAGTAGCTACGGACCAAGCTAAAAATGAATACCTCACGAGTCGTATCATTATCCACAATACATTTTCTGTGAAATGATCAGGAAAACAATATTGACACTTAAAACTTACTGTTCATGTGAGTAACATTTTGAGAGTAGGATTGCAGTTCCTTCTCCATGGATTCCAGCTGAACTGGGTCCAACCTTACTTTTCTTTTCACTACATCTGTTTTCAACACATCAACTGTTCGTTCTAAATCTCTGTAAAGTATTCCAGTTATAAAGAGAAATTAACCACTACATTGCAGACAGCTTATTATATTATTATATATTATTACTAGTGTAACCCGGCCTTCGGCCGGGATTGCACTGCCGCAGTTAAAAAGGGTAGGAGTAATTACCCGCTGATTCAAAACCCGCATTAGGTGAGCAATTCTATTCGGAGTACCCTCACCGTATCCAATAGTATCTTAAACAATAATCTCATAATCAGTTCTTTCTCGTGGATTATTAAGTCATTATCAGGCACCACAATTCATGATCATAAGGTCCGAACACCGACTATTACACCTCATCACTCCCGTCTTGAACCACTGTACACTTTCCATTTTTATTTAAATCGTTTTAGAAATTAACCCTTGTTAACTCCGCACCACACCTGCCTATTATATTTGAAAACACGCATAACATTGTCGTATGAAAGTATGAACTCTCTCTCTCTCTCTCTCTGTAGTCCAAACAGAGTCAGACCCTGCAAACAGTGCCCCCTCCCCTAATTAGATTAGAGTATAACATGACAACGAATCTTACCCCCCTAACCCAATTATGGTTATTACTTATGCAGCTAAATATGCAGAGAGAGCGAGCCCCGTAACTCTTACCGTTTTCTGGATTAAGCTGCTCGAGCCATTTTATATCACATTTTTGGTACGAAACCATCAATTAAACCACTTACCACCGACCGATTTTTAAAATATTTGCTAATGGGCTTCGTCAGAGTTTTGTCGACACTCTATTGAAAAAACCAGTCCCGTAACTCTTACCGTTTTTTTAATATAACCGACCGGAAATTACACACGCACAGACAGACAGACGATCAGACACACACACATTCTGAGATTATTGTTTAAGATTATATGGTTATAAATAGTAACAGCATATCTTATGACAGAGTTCCAACTTACTTTATATTCGAGTAAGTTTCTTCGGAGATCTGTCTATACTCTGCCTCAACTTTGTCAGCCTCCATTCTCTGCCCCCTGATCCCTTTAGGCATGGCTGCCTGGATCTGCCTCGTTATCTCCTCCGCTGTACTTTTGATAATCTCATCCATTTCCGCCTTGGATTCTAGCTCTCTTCGTTTGAGCAACATGAGTTCTGATTTGGTTTCTTGAAGATTGTGATACAGGGTTTTTATTATGCTGTGTAGGTGGGAGAGAGTTGGTTTTGTGTCGGGAATTATCGCCGGCAAATCTGAAAATATGGACATAATTATTTTAGCAGCTTAGATAAAATGTGAACTGCAACCCTTTTCACAGAACAAGATAGATAGCAAAATAAATAACGGAGGAGTTCAGTACCTGTTTGACTAGAGACCTCGGAGCAGGTGTCACTTTTATGAATGGTATTTATCTCGTGTGTTATCATCGACAATCTTTCTTCCACCAAACTTAGTCTGGATCTGATAGTAAAGGAAAGTATGTTAACAAAGTTGATTATTTTCTAAATAAAAATGTCTTACTTTGATAAAATTAGTTTACTTTGTAAGTAAAATATTGAATTGGGACTTTGATTCACAATACAATATAAAAATAACCCAAAAAACGCAGCAAAGATTTACTCGGTAGGCATTGGTTTTGTCTGTCTGTCAGTTGTCTGTCAGTTTGTCTATCAGTTTGTCTGTCAGTTTGTCTGCTTTTCACACCGTTAGTTATGGACTTTTCGATCCGTTTTTGTCTGTAAGAAATGCTTTAAGGACTACACAGAATTTAATAAGACAGCGGAAGTTGCTACGAGCAGAAGGGCGATTCACATTCGTCGCTACTCCTACCTGTAGCAACCTCTAGTGTTGGGCGGGTTGCTGGAATTTTGCCAACCCCTAAAGATAGAAAAGACTATTATAATTAAGACATCGCACATCACAATGTTAGACGCTTACTTTCTTCTGGCACAATCATTACGTCGCCTAGAAACGAGTCATTATTGATTTTTTAAACTTCTCTCGTACTACTCTTGTTTTCGTTCATTCGCACAGAAATGTATAATTATACTTAACAAGGACATGATTTGTGAGGAACATCTTGTTAAAGTTGTAATAGCTAATGCGTACGAGACAATGAAAACGGATAATAAGATTAACAGCTTGAAAACTAGAACTAAACTCAACAAAAACAATTCCAACTATGCAGCAGAACTAATTAGCTACCTATTGTGCGGTATAATCACGTACTTTCCGGGACGTTTAGTGGGTTTGGTGGGAAGGGAGACAGGAGTAGCAGGGATAACGAACCCTCCTCCAGAGGATAGAGACGAGTTGGAGGAGTTGTTGAGATCCTCAAGAGATTGGGAGCTGCCACGGTCAATGTTCTTTATCACTAGTTCCTCGTGCAGCTTCAGGTGGGATCCTGAGGGTAGGTAGGATTAGACATAAGCGGGGGGGGGGGGGGGGGGAACAAGGGGTGAGATATTCTTATAGATGAAATAGGAGGGGTCATTCTTTACATTGTTTGGAAGTCAAGATATTAACAAATTATCGTAATAAAAGAAAGAGGGACAACTACTGTTGTATCAGTACCTTTAATAACATCGCTGTGATCATCGAGCTGATAAAATATCTTGGTCTGAGAATCCTGTATATACAGTGCTTTAAGTGGGACCATATCAGCTGTTAGGGCGTCTCCAAATGTGGCTATTATCTTCTGTCTCAGCTGATCCAATGGTATGGGTAGGGGTGGAGTCACAACTCGCTTTACTTCTTTTCCGTATTCCACAAATATGTGTTCTGGAGGATAGAGTGAGGTTAGACGAAGTTAGTAAGTGTGTAAATGAAGTTGATGCTGTTTGTTTGGTGAGTAGGGAGTGTGAAATGGTCTGTAAGGAATGTAAATGGGTTAATCTTGAAAAGTGAACGTGCGAAGGTATGCAACGTCTAGCATGCTAGAACTTGAATGTATTTCCCAACACAAAGAATGTGAAGAATTATCATGTTTACTTCTTGATTCTTAGGTTTTCTAAAGGAGAATGTAAAAAGTAGTTGAACTGATGCTGAAAAAAAGACATCGTATTTTTGAGGTAAAACGTAGTGCTGTACCACACTGAATATATATAAGAATGAACTTGTAAATTTAATAGCCCACTGCTCTAATCTTCACACAATCACACTGGATCACACATATAATATAGTGTTGTGGAGCGTGCATCATTACACTTCTCATCACACATGATCCCTCACCTCGCACCGGTCGAGTAGGCACTGGTGCAATCACATTTATCACTGGCACTGGCTGTGGTACCGAAACTGGCTGTGGTACCGAAACTGGCTCTGGTACCGAAACTGGCTGTGGTACCGAAACCGGCTGTGGTACCGAAACCGGCTGTGGTACCGAAACTGGCTGTGGTACCGAAACAGGCTGTGGTACCGAAACAGGCTGAGGTACCGTCGCTGGCTGGGGTACCGAAACCGGCGGAGGCACCAAAACAAGCTTGGGTACCGAAATAGGCTGAGGTACCGATCTCAGTTGTGGTAATGAAACCGATTGTGGTACCGAAACCGGTTGTGGTACCGACGCTAGCTGAGGTACCGAAACTGGTGAAGGTACCGTCACTAGCTGAGGTACTGAAACCGGTTGAGGTACCGACACTACTTCAGGTTCCGAAACTAGGGAAGATACGGACGTTAGCTCAGATACCACAGCCGGCACAGGTTGGATTACTGACACTTGCTGGGGTACTGATGTCACACAGGGCTGCAGACACGGCACCACTTTATCCGGCACCACTTTCTTGATATCCGGTACCGGATCTGGTTCTCTCACACGGATCTCACCTCGCGGCATCGCGCTCTTCTCCGGCACTGTCACGCTGTTCAGCCGCTTCCGGATAGCTGGGGGTGTGGCAGCGGTACTAAAACATAAATATGACCGCAAGGACCGCCGGCGGTTGTTAAACCGCGCGAAATGCGGTTGTGCACGTGGGCTGCAGGTCTCGGGACAGCAGTATAAAGTACAGCTGTGAACTGTGGTACAGTGTATATTGCCTGTTTTGTACATATTATGGTCCATTACTGGAAGGGTGGATTGTAAGATACTTCAACACTGGACAGTTTCCTAAAGTATTAGAGATATGCAAATTAGAGATATGCAAATTCAGAGTTCAACTAGCAATGTATGTTCTGGCTAACTAACGAAACGAGAAAAATTTGAGAAGCACTGCAACAAGATAAGTCTCTATTTTTGACGGTAATAATCAAAAGCTAAAATAAACTAAAATAGCCTGGCAGCTCTGATCAGAGTAAGAGATACAGGCACAGAGTAGTATAGAGATACCAAGTACTTGACCTGCTTAGAGCTGATGAAATATTGCGCAACACCATCACACGAACATAGTCTTGAAAAGAGTACGCTCAGCCAAACTAAACGGATAATGTGGAAAAGGTGAAGCCATGAAAAGCAAGTTAATTGGCTGGATAGGTGGCAGCTAGAGTAAACTTTACACCAACTAAAGTGTGAATGGAAAACCAAACCATTTTCAAGTCAGGAGGCGTGAAGAGACGTGAGCGTCGCGAACAGTCCAATTACAGGCTTACAAGATTCCATACCAACTATCTTTGGAATTTGGAAGTAGACAAATTCCGACAACGACACTATTTAGAGATTGGTCTAGTGGTTTTCAACGGCATAGCTACGATGAGCATTCACAAACAACCTGGTCACCATTAGTGAGTGGAATGATTTGCCCCTTTTTAAAATTAAAATGGGACCCACACGTGTTAACTAACGTAGAGTGACATGACACTATTCTAGGATTGTCCTGTGGCAATAAACATTTAGCTGGAATATGGAAATTACGAATATAGCGCAAAAGTATGCGGCCCTAAACCAAATTCGAGGAAAACAAACACTAAATATTAAATAAAAGTTTAGCCCTGGCGGCAGAAGGACAACACTAAAACAGGCTTCGAAAAGTGTAGCGTAAAATAAGCTTATCAGCTGTTTGCGAGTGTAGATAAGAAACGAACTATTTGTTGAACAAAGAACTTGATAAATGTAAGATAACTGCTGAAATGTGACATGTCAGTCAAACATCTGATATCATCAATAATCCGCGACGGAGATGATAGATAGTTATAGTACTTACATAATTTACAGGGAATGTAAAACGTATAATGACGACACTCTAGAACAAGGAAATGGGAAAACAGACGAAAAGAGACAGTCAACTGTAACTATTATAGTATTTAATTATCTAGAGATAAGATCTGAAATGAAATCTGTGGGCGACTACCAATAACAGGCAAAAGGAGGGAAAAATGAATACCAGGGAGTAGAGTTGAAACATGGGAAAAGGTATGAACGCTCTAATCCTGGAAAGTTAGGGAGGATCCTCCCTCTTCGAATTTAAAATTTAAAGAGCATTTTGTGTCGCAATTCGGTTGTTTGTGCCATAGAAACCAGTCAGAAGCAATCTCCTAATACACTAAAATTACTACTACTGTAGTATTGCGACCAGTACATGCACAGCAGCTGCACAGGTAAAGCAATTAAAACTGTGATATTGGAAACGCTCCGCCGTCTTGGGAGGACAACTGGCAATTAAAATACGATTAAGAATACATTCGGATAGCGTAAAGTTTTCGTGAGACCGTTTCAGCTACTGTTCTGAACAAACTGACGATAATCAAGCTACAGAGCATTTGATCAGGAAGGGTATATATATTTTCTGAATTATTTTAACTACTAATACTATAAAAACTCATTAGAGTTACTGATAAAAACTCAAGCTCAAAACTATGCTGACTGCTGAGATCAAATTATTGTAAGTAACGAGAACAAATTCTACTGACTTTTCAGAAAATGTCAACAACAAATTAACAAAAATACGTGTCAAAAAGGCTGGACCAGTGAGACTAACTGACGGCCAAACGTACGAAGTAACGGCAACTGTAATAACTAATATCAGCATTGAATTAAGATTTGTGTGGGTCATACTTAAAATTAGCAATTCTCGGCTTCCATTAAAATTCAACATTGAGTCAACAAAGCCGGCAAATTCGTGCATAGTGCGATAATTAAAGTCAGAGTCTATAGTTAGAAAACTTTGCATGGAACTTCTTCGCAAAATTTTCGTCAAGTATAAAGCTTGTCTCGGTAAAACGGAGCAGTGAATTACACAGAAGCATGACGTACACAGTGCATATATTCCTGGCAGTTTCACCATAAAGATGACCCACCTATGTGGCGTTTATGAAAAACAAACGACCAACCAAAACCAAACATTCCGTCACGTGGCCAATCAAAACGCGAAAATCTAAACCACGTGACCTGTAACGACAATAACAACAGTAATGACAATAGCAGCAGCTTGTCCACTAAGTTACAAGAACTCAAGCATGATGAGCTGACATTGAACTAATTGTGTGAAGATGGCTGACAATGGTGGTTTTAATTACGGAGCTAGCAAGCACAGAGCGGGTAAGATAGTCTGGATAATATCTCTAGATGTGAAGTGGAGGGGGAAGGGATATCAGGGTAGCTTGCCAGGTAGAGTTATTGTGGTTGGTATTGTGGTTGAGGGGGAGGGAAACTTGTTACTTGTAGAGCAATAATAACGGTTATATCGAGGTGTAACCGATAATAATAGACCTTACTTAACGAGGAACACAAATAACGGAGTGGTAGTAGTAGATTAAAAAAACGACTCAGTAAAACGCAAAACGCAAAATTTCCTCCGTTTAGTCAAAACAACACGGTAGCAGTAAGCAGCACAAGATCGAGCATAATAATAAACGTTGATGGGCTGCACGCAAGCAATATCTGGCTGGCCACCGTGAGCAATCATAATATTACAAGCTGGGACTTGTCCTGTATACCATGAGGACCACTACAAACTACATTGTGCTCTCTGGAAAGGTATTAGTGCGCGTGTTAGATGCAGTCCTTTCTACATTTTAACAGAGCACCAGTGACGTTTGTAACGGAGACCGATATTAAGTTCTTTTTAGTCTGCTTCACACTGGAGTGAGTAAGTGAGTACAGATCACTGCATCATATCACATTCAATGTGTACATATTTCGTCAGAATATGTTTTATGCTGTCTCTGTAAAGATGAAGGAACGCGGAGTTCTTAATGGCGAGTAATTTGGCAATATTTGTAAAATGAAGAGTACTCGAGAAAATGTGAACTTACCATTCGGAGTCCTTTGTTGAACAGCCTTGTATAAATCCTCCGGCACCTGTAAGAATTGTTGAGTTAAAAATAGAATGCAGATTGCAGCTCTGAGGGTTCATTGCTCTACTATGACTTTTAAAATGACTGATTTGCAAATATTAAATTCAAACAGCGGTGAAATATTTCTTTAAGGGCTCGGATTAACAATAGATTTGTTTGATTTACCTTCCCCCTACTTTTCTGTTTTTTAAGTTTAACAGTATCAGTCTCAGTCATGTCAGTCTTCTTAGTAATATTAAGTCTGTCAAGCATTGACCTAGCAGTGGCCATCTCCGCCTTGCTGAACCTCTTACTCTTCCTCTTCTCGTCCTCCAAATGTTTTGAAGCTAACAACAAACTCCTCTGGCTCACCACGGGAGTAGGGTTCAGTAATCTGGCCCTCTCCTCTCGTCCCAGTCTCTCTCGTGCTTTGGACCTCGCTACTAATACTTCCTGTTCGTACTTCTGACGAGCTAACAGTTCCTCATCTCTCTTTCTCTTCTCCGCCTCATCTCTCTTCCACTTCTCTAGCTCTGCTTTCCTCTGCTCCTCCAAATCCCTCATCCTTGCCTCCTCCCTCTCTCGGTCCTTATCTATGCGGATCTGTTCTGCAAGCGTTCTGCCAGGAGCAACAGTTAATGGTGAGATCCTGCCCAGAATCTAACTGAGCTGAGGACTTGGACTTGTACAGGGGTTTATTCTGGACTTCTGGACTTGGTGACTCTATGACTAGTATCAGCGCTGCTTGAGCTGGAGGAACTGTATTCTTGATTGTTTTGGTTTAAACCGAACAGATCAAACAACGAGCCACCTCTCCCGAACAAACTCTTTCTCCGTGGAGCGTCTCCCTGTTTTCTACTCAGGGAGTCTTGAGCTACCTCATGACCGTTTGTAGGGTTACCACTTTTCCGTTTAACTCTAATACTACCAATATCACTGACTGATATGGTTCTTATTAGGGCTGGTTTTTTATGAACAGAAACAGGTGAGATTTTCTTTCTTTGATTACTTTTCTGAGGACTTTTCCTACTAGCAGAAACGCTCTGAGGACTGTTTTTCTTGGGTTCATCATTCTCATTGGGTAGAAAACCATCCTGATCTGGAGAAGTCCTGGTTGTAAGCGACCTTTTTGTTTTTATTTTCTCTTTCATAGTTCTCGACTGAACGGCGTTCAGGGTCATTTCCCTGACTCTTGATAGAATCACTTCTACTGGTATTTGAGGAGGAATCGTCACTGTTCTGCCCGTAAAACAGGGAGTTAGGAACAATATTTCTCCGTTTGTGAGTATCGTGGTATACGGGGGAGGGAGTTGTAAGCCAGGAGTAATCTGAACTCTCTGGAGAACGTTCTAGACTCTGAGGCCGCCTTTTTGGCTTGGGAGAATCTGCTGGTCTGTTTTTCTGTCTGTCAAACAAGTTTTGTAACGCCGAAACGCCCTAAGTTTAAAATCAATGAGTCTTAATCATTCAATCAAATTTAAAAGAGATTTTGCCGATGAATAAAAATCAAAGGATATATGAGTATGAGTAATGGAGTGATTTTGTAGATGATTTTGAGATCGTAAATAAGATGATTTCCATTATATTCCTGCCCAATGACCTACACTGGACCATCTCATGAACGAACAGCTGACCTATCAACTCTAACTTACAACAGAAGGAGTACGGAGAGAGCAGGTATCAAGCTCCAGCTCCTTGACTTGATAATACCTGCCCTCCTCCAAAAAGTGCTCGTCTACAGAGAACTTCCTGTTCCTTATCTCCGGCTCGTTTCTCCTTATTACTTTCAGCCTCACTCTTCTCTCCACTCATATCAGCGTCACTACCATTGTCACTGATCGAGCGGTCGAAGGACTCTGTGGAGTCGGACAGAGACTCTCGTGATAGTTTGTAGGCCCGGGTGTTCAGCAGATAACTAAGTGGGTCTGCAGTTTGTACAGCTTCTTGGACTTTTTCAGGTTTGGTTGGTTTAGTTTTCTTAAGGGGAGTGTCAGCTGACATGGGACGTTTATTTGTCTTCAAACTGTTTTTATCATCTTGCATTTTCTCACAAGATTTAGACTTAAGACCGGTAGAACTGGAGGTTGCGCGCCGTTTAACAAATTTGGGGCCCCGATGGTGAACACATGTAACACGTGCAAGCGCGCTGATATGAGAACACCTCTTCTTATCAACCACTTTAGGAATGTTGTTATCAAACTCAATAAATATCCCATCAATACTGGTCTCCTTAACATTATCCTCAGTCTCACTGTCCGGAGGATTCATCGTGATAGCTGATAAACATATTGTTAGCACACTGACTCCACTTCTTACGAGTCCTAGGTGTGAAGAGTTGGTCGGAGTCTGGAGGACTCGGGTTACGAAGACGATGGTGCGGGGATTTATCTGGGGATGAGAGCGGTGACTCAATGTCAAGAAAAGGGGTGGTAGGTCCATCACACTCCACAAAATTAGGTTTAGTGGTGTGATAGGATCCCGGAAGGGACTGTCTAACAAATCAGATGGCTTCTTAATTCGAGGAGGGGTAATGTTGACAAAGGAGGACATGTCCTGGTCAGCATCATAGAAATGGGAACTCTCGGTGCTGGTTCTGCTGCTGCTGGTTCTGGAGGTGTTGGTGGTTCTGGAGGTGTTGATGGAGCTGTAGGAGCTCTTCAGAGCGAGCAGTAACTCGTTCATTGCTGTAACACGCGGGGGTAAGTTTACGAAGTACTCACTTGTTTCCACTTCATTCTCTCTCAGCCACCACACTCCCACAGCACTCCCACTCTTGCACTCGTTTCGCACTCTCACACTCACTCGAACAAAGACTCGTCCACGCACAAAACACCACACCTGTCTACACCAAATAACACAAAACCAAACAAAGCTCTACAAAAACAAACTGGAGTTAAGCAGCCAGTAGAATAGAAACAGCGGTGCGACAGCTGCTCAGTTCACTAAATTCAATTACTGAGCTAGTACTGGGGAGGAAACGGCAAAACCGCATCCTGGAGCAAGGAGGAGAGCCCGCCTAAAATATATTCAAACAATCAGGAAATAATTATCAAGTGCTTCAGAACTCCCCTCTTAGCGAGATGGCCGGCAAATTGCACGTTAATATAGTCTGTGGGGGCAGGAGCTGTAAAGTGTGCCAAGAAGTTCGTGTGAAGGAGAATGGGGAGCTGGGGTTGGTAATGGTTACTGGTTGTAAGTGTGGCGGTTATAACGCCACGTGGTGTCATGGTGCCCCGATTCAGTGCTGCCTGCCCTAATCTAGCAGTGGTAAAATTAGCAGGTGGCTAATTCAAACGGGCTTG